GTCCAGAAGAGGGCCATGAAAATGATCAGGGGGATGGAACACCTCTCCTCTGAAGAAAGGCTGAGAGAGTTGGGGTTGTTCAGCCTAGAGAAGAGAAGGCTTTGGGGAGACCTTATTGCAGCCTTTCAGTACTTAAAGAGTGCTTATAAGAAAGATGGGGACAGACTTTTTAGTAGGGCCTGGTAGATTCAGACTAGATATAAGGAAGAAATTTTTACGCTGAGGGTGGTGAAACACTGGCAGAGGTTGCCCAGAGAGGTGGCGGATGCCCCATCCCTGGAAACATTCAAGGTCAGGCTGGACGGGGCTCTGAGCAACCTGATCTAGTTGAAGATGTTCCTGCTCAGTGCAGGGGAGTTGGACTAGATGACCTTTAAAGGTCCCTTCCAACCCAAACTATTCTACGTTTCTATGGTTCTATGATTTTTGGATGGAGCAGATGCAGTGCTGAATGAGACGTGTTACAGCAGAGGCAGATGCAGTGCCAGGAGAAAGCAGCCGAGTCCCTGGCACAGGCTCGGCACGCGACCGGGAGCAGGGACCACCGCAAGTAGTCCAGCCATTTGACAATACCTTCCTGCTTTCATGGTCTAGCTCCGGAGTACGTCCTGGTCAAGTCTCCAGTCAAGCTGGCCAGAAATCTCCCCATCATACTGAGTTTTAGTAGAAAATGTCACTGCATCGGATACAACTGGTGTGCGAAAATGTAACTTACTGATGTTTCTAAAAGTATTTTTCCCCAAGATTTCTGGTTCTGGTTCTGGTGCCTGGCTGCTCCCATCAGGCGCAGGCTCGACCGCTGGCTGACCAGGTCTTTGTGGTTTTGTCTCCAAAGGTACCGCGTTGTGGTCCCGTACCCGCCGCAGAGCGAGGCCGAGATCGAACTGAAGGAAGGTGACATTGTGTTTGTGCACAAGAAACGGGAGGACGGCTGGTACAAAGGGACGTTGCAGAGGAACGGCAGGACGGGCCTCTTCCCCGGGAGCTTTGTCGAGAGCTTCTGAGGACGGCTCGCCGCTCTCTCAACTGGAGGAGCTTTCAGGGGAAACTGCATAGCACAAGAAGAGACAGCAAAGGGAAACTGGACTGGTAACCACTGCCATTTTTATTTCCAAAGACTCCCCCCAGGCCCTTCAGTCTACAGCTCTGGAGACGCAGTGCCCCGCTGTGCTCCTGAGACCGCGTGCGGTGCATACAGTGGTATGTTGAAGTAGTGCCTTCCACCTGGAATCACAGACTGAAAGGACGCCCATCTGGACTGTACATAACCTAAACTCCGGCTGTTAACCCTTTGTGTAAATTATAGAGAAGATATCTTTAAAAAAAATTAAGAGGAAAGTTGTTATATTGCTGTAACTTATTTGTCAGAGCTGCAGTGTTCTTATTACTGGCCTATGCAAGATGGATTTGAGAGTTCAAGGAGGTGTGCTAGAAAGCTCTTAAACTGGGATTTCGTTTTTCCCGAGGGAAAAAGAGGGAGGGGAGGGTGGAGAAAACCCCAGCTAAAGATCAGTGCGTCGTCGTGCAAGAAAGAATGAGGAGTCCAAAACGTTAGTGTCATGCTTTCTATATACCTCAAAGATATGCTGCGCAAGTTTGTCAGTGAGTGTGTTAGTGCTCAGAGTCCCATACCACCCGGTGTCCTGGCGCTGCCGCTGGGGAGGTCCTGGAGGAAGTACGGCTCCACCATTAAACTGTGGTTATTTGAGCAGAATCCCTTTTGCCTGTCTTCTGCCCTTATTATATGCAGCATGGATTTTTGTCCTTCAGTATCACTTTCCATTGCTTTTTTGTATGACGTACCTTTTTACTGTAAGAATTGCTCTACTTTATATATATTCTTACTAGATCAGACATTTCCTCTTTTTCATACATCTGGTGCTATTTTTTTTAATTGTTAAAGATTTGGTTTGGTTAAACAGAGAGGCTGCAACAAGATTTGCATTCAACATATGAGATTAGAAACGTACCTGAAGATCGAGATCAGACTGCTTGTTCATGCTTCATAGAGGAAAAGAGAAAAAGCCACTTGGTCACGGATAAATATACCTGGGGGAGCGTGCCTGTGCAACACGCACACGCTCGCTCTCTCCTACGTATTTAGAGTGGCTGAAGACCCACGCTGAAGCACAGCGTTCTGTCTGGAGAGTGATAATTACTCCAGAATTGGAAGTAATTCCCAGAGGAGTCGTTTTAATTGACTTTTCCATGGCAATAAGAAGAACACTGCAGGTTCTAGCATGTGCAGGGACCGTGGAGTTTTCCTCTGTCGTTGCATCACGGAGATGAGAGCTGATCTGCGACGGCTGTAATTAGCATTATCGAAATGTGATTTCTTACTGTAGAAATGTACAGTTCTGGACACTGTTCGATTTCTTAACGTGGTCAAGCTACAATACAAACCGTATCAGGCAATATAAGCTTCCATCTACCAGGGACTTAAAGGTGCAATAAATGTAAAGCAAGTTTAGCCAGTTCTTCATATGAAGCAGAATGAGAAAAAATTCCATAATGCGATTGTGAGAGTATTTAAAAAGACATCGGCTCTTGAGGAATGAAACGTGATGAAAGGCTTTTCGTAGCTGTATCCGTACCTTGCCTTTGCCAGCGGCTGGCTGTTTGCCAAAGCCCACATGTGGTGGTCATTTAAAAGCGTGTCGGAGGCACTGTAACCTGGAGATGATCTTATTAAAAGGAAGAGGCCCGGTGGGTGAACATCGTTACTGCGTTACCAGTATTTCATATGTGAAGGTGTAAGTTTTGTTTTCATTCAAGCCGTGTATACTAGTACCTACCAAAACCCATGTAAGCGAGCGTTCCTATTTAAGTTCAGCTCCGTGACTTTGTTCTCTGTAAAATAAGTTTCTTCTTGCTGTCACACGTAACAAACCGATTCCAGAAACACAGTCCATGGCCAAGTATAGCACCTTCAAACAGGGAGGCATCATTTTCAGGGTGTTTCTTTTTATACTTAATGCTGCCGCATTTGTTCATATTCCAGATTGTAATGAGTCGGCCACTAAAAGTTTATTTACCGTTGAGAGGAAATTGCCTTTTTATAGCCAATAAGAGACTGAAGAAACGTCTTCTGGAAAGACTTGCTTGAGACTAGAGCCATATCTGTCCACTTATTTGGTCCAGATCAGAACTGGTATCACTGCACCTCCAACAGTAAACTGCACAGTTAGCGAGACAGCAACACCAAAATGCGTGTTATCGATTCCAATAAAAATTCTGGGTTAGATCTGTCAGAGATGAGATTTTTTCTGATAACTTACAGTGGTTAAAGCTTTCTTAAAATTCTGTTCCGTGGGTGTATTTACTACACTCAGAAAAACGAAACAGGATGACGGCTTGCTTGCTGCCTATTGTGTTTAGCCAGATCTAAAATGGTTCCAGATTTCCACCTTTTCATGCTTAACTCTAACAGGACAAAAGTTGGTGTGTCAGATCAAGGAAAACACGCAGATGTCGTGTCATGAAATCAGTGCTTTAAAATATATTTTGCAGGGAGTATGATGGGATTTTTAATGGACAACAACCCTTCCAGTCATACCTCCTGCAAGGAAAAATATTGGGGGGGGGGGGGGGTTCTATTTTGATAACAGCTGTTTCTGGCCCCTGTTTATTGCTTGTCATCACAGTTTGGGTTACTGAGTAATCTTCTTGGACAAATCACTTCCATGCCAGGAGCACAAGTGCAGAACTTAATACAGCTCAGTGAGACAAAAACGTGACCCAGTGCCGTTTGGAAAGTCCTGGACTGAGAGAGGTTCGACTTGTACTGTGGTCTAATTTTCACCTGTCATACCAGGGAAAGGGGATGAGGGGACATCTGCATCTCCTACAACGGGGGGGGGGAAGAAAAGACTCCTTCTGGCGGCCTCAGTTTGTAAAATGCCAGGTTCGCTCTTCTAGAAATGGGTTCGAGTAATTGAACAATTCCTTTGAACTTTGCACAGCTCAGAAAATGTTTTTGTTATACATGAATGTTAACGTGATTTAGGAAATGTTGGCGGATATGAGTACAAATGAACTACAATGACTGTGTTTCTGACTCTTTAAATAAAATAAACATTAAGGCAACTTCACTGAGGTTTCTCTCTCTATTAGATGGCAAAGTGAACTAACAATGTAAGTGGCTCTGAGGTTCACAAGGAAAACAGGGAAGACCCCTCTGCAAACCCTGCTCTTTTTGAGCTGACCCTACATCTCCTTTGCTTTCAGTAGTAATTCCCACATAAATAAAGGCCAGTTAAAGGTAAGAGATGCCTGAGCAAAAGTTAGAATCTCTTTCTGGATCTTCTTTTGGCAGATCTGGGATTCTTCGAAATCTTGAGAAGTTAACGCTTAGCTTACGTGTGGAGAAGAGGTGTGTAGGTCCAGAGAAAGAGAGCGGGGACAGGCTAGGAAGGGGGAGTAAGGCAGCGAGGGCAAGGCTATGCCAGAGAGGCTGGGAGGGGATGCAGCAGCAGAAGCGTTTGCAAGGAAAAGAGCAGCCTCTAATCCTGCTAGCAGGCTTCAGGGGTGCTCGGAGGTCCCCTTGTGGGTTGAGCAGGTTTGTGGGCAGAGGAAGACCCCCTTCCTCCTGCCCCTGGCCTGGGCACAGTGCCGGCAGGGTCCACATGTCCTCCAGTCTACGTACAGCCAAGGAACCGGGAGAGAGGGAAGGAGCAGGTTGTACCCTGGGCATCCGAACACCCCCCTAGCTCAGGTGAGGGGCGTAAGCCCATTTTTGCACGTGGCCTGAGCTTCCTGTTCAGCAGCATGGTGCGGAGCGTCTGGAGGCGGAGCATGCACTGGGTCTGGATGTGTTTGCCTTGATTCGGCTGGGAGATGCCTTTGAGGAAGAGGCACCTGCAGGTGGCGATTCATTGCCCCATTCGGGAGCGTGTAGTGCAGGGAGGAGCCACGCTCAGCTAGCTCACCAGGGCGCCTTTGTCATGGGCTTGCTTAAGGCAGCCACCCCTCCAGCAAGGTGACACGAGTCTCTCTTTGCCTCAGCTGGATCCTGACTCAAAATTCTGAAAGGTGGGAACCGCAAGAATTTGAACGTGGGCAGGCAACAACTCTCCCACTGCTTGGCGTCACCCGCTGCCCTGCCTGACAAGCAGTGTAGTGCAAAATGCCGCACGGAGGAGCCTGCCAGCTATTTCCAAGCTGGTCTGGAGTGCCGGTCCCCTCCATGCTTCGCTGGGTCCTGCTCCTCTGGCACCTCTCCGGCCCACGCTGCCAGCACATACCGCACACCTCACCCAGCCTTCGCACTGCATGCCACCCTTTGCTCCTGCTCCAGCACCTGGTAGGAATCCCAGTCATGTTTTGAAAGAAGAATAATCATTGTAAAATTGTTACACAGCTTGACTGTTCCTAAACGCTCATGGAGAGCAGAACCACCTGGACAACATCTGCAGGGCTTTCCTGTGGCCAAAAGCTCTTCCTGACATTAGCAGCTCCTTATAACATGGTGAACCTGGCAGCTACATGGCTTGGTTAGTCGGTGCCAAACCAAATAAATGAGCTGTACTAGCAGGGAAGCCAAGAGGTGATACAGTCTGGAGAAGGCCCTGTCCTCGCATCCCAGCCTTTCATGTAGCAAAAATAACTTTCCAACCAGTCACAGATGTATTTCAAATCACTGGGGTGCGGGTGTCTCCCCTCCCTTCAGAAAACAACAGGATTTTTCTCAGCCGCCGAGCAGCACCACCTGCCCTACGCTGCTGCAGAGGTGCCACAAGCCAGGCCACCAAGGGGCTTGCACCAGGGGGGTCATCTTGCCCCCCAACCCTCCCAGCAGCACGCTGTGGCAGACAACCTGCGTGTCCCCTCCGTGTTTATAGGTACAGCTCAGTTGCAGGTGAGCCCATCCCCACTTGGCTCTCTTCGTCACTCCCACCCCACGGAGACCCCCGCAGCCCCAGGGAAAGACAGCCAGCATCCCACCGACTTGGCAAGGGAGTGACTAAAAGGTGTTTCCAACACAAATGGCTCTTTCGCACCAGCC